CCCATTTCTCCCTGTGCCCCATTGCATCTCATGCTGCTCTGATCTACAGAGGAGCTTCAAAGGTCATTTTTGAATTGGGCATAGAATACTATTAGGAATCTCTCTCTCTCTCTCTCTCTCTCTTTCTCATGTTTTCACACATGCATTCATGCAGCATAGTGATGTCTCTACGCATGTCAAAATGGCTCATAGACTCTGAGCAGAGGTCAAAAGCAAAATACAGCTTTAAAATGTGTGAAATCAGCTGAAAAGTTGCTACCAAAGTGAAACAGTCTGGTCCAAGTTGCAGCTAAACACCTGCTACCTGTTAATGATACAATCAGTTCTTTAATGAGTGGGAGAGCACCTCCCATGTCTATAGATGATCTCCTGGTTACTCTGCAACATCTCCAGGTAGGCCTGCAGAACCTTCTGCCTCAAACCCTGGAGAATGACTGCCAGTCAGAGTCAGCAGCACTAGCTAGTTGGACCTATGCACAAGGCAGCTTCTTATGCAACTGTGTAGTATATGCACCCTCTTCCTTTCTTCCTTCATGAAAGAGAAGACCATGTACACATGACGGGTCCCTTCCAGGCCAATGACCAGGTCTAGATCTCCTCAGCTCCAGCAGCACATACTCTCAGGCCATGTTTAGAAGGCAAGAGCCATTCTTCAATGATACCTTGAGAGCAAGTTTCCTTTGTGTTCAAGGAGCTCTCTACAGTTCCCATTCACTTCCATGGAGCTCAACAAAGTTTCCCACCTTGATGGCATGTGCACCACAGAAGAGATTTTCAGGGTGGAAAGTCCTGAAGGTTTAAGAGAATATTCTAACTGCTCCCCACCCAACTGCAAATATATATTATTTAAAAATTCCAGTGTTTGATTATTAAGGCGATAATCTTGTTTCTTCCAACATTTGCATGCAGAAATCTAAAAGAAACACCGAGTGCCAAATAAAACATGGCACCTTTCTCTGTTTCTTGTACTTTTTTAAACAAAAATTATTTCTCTTGACAGAAAATCGCTAAACCCATACTGAGCTCTAGCTAATATCACAGCATGCCTCCAGAAAGAGCCGATCGTTTCAAACTGGTGTCACTGACAAATAATGTTTTTCACTTGTACAAGTTCAGTGTCTTTTCATTTGTTTCCTATGCATTTCCCTTAACAGCTGAGAGATTGTATTTTGTAAAAAGCCACTTGCCTGTTTTCTCACACTTCTTACTGTACTGTAGGTAAATGTCAGAAGTGATCAGGTGATCAGGGAGGAAGAAACACAAACCTCTCTTGTATCTGGTATGTCCTCTGGCAGATAATAACTTCTTGCAATATATATATATATATATATATATATATATATATATATATATATTTAATGTAAACAGAAACCAATCTTAAACTAAGCAAACAAAGCCCCCAGAGCCAGCTGTCCTTTTCAATATGTTACACAGCTCATCACACGCATAGTTATGTGCCCTCAGTTCTCTGTAGGTGCATGGACTTTAATTTAGCTTTAACTCACAGCATGCCCTGATTTAATTGAGAGAAAGAACACATAACCCAGTAGGTCAGCTTGTTCCCTTTTTACCAAGGCCAACTATCAAAATCTCCTGCAGGATTTCCCCTATGTCCCCATGCCAAGCAAACTGGGAGTTTTGTGACAGCCTAAAGATTCCACTCACAGGTATCTTCTGAACAAGGAGCAATAAAATACAGCTTGATTTCCCTATCCACCCCGTGTTTCTTACAACAAAGGTATTGTGCCTCAAAACATCTTGGCTCAAAGTATGCTAGGCCTATATCCAGGTCTGAAAATGAGGAAAGGAACTGCCATATCTTCCTCGTTTGGGCGTGCTTGCGTGTGTGTGCGTGTGTGTGAGGATTTGGACAACTTTATGAAGTTATTTATGTGGGAAGGGAGCTGGTGCCCTGCAGCACGGATGATGCCTGGAATCTCCTTGTTTGATCAGACCAAGATCTGGCTTGGAAGCACTCTGCTTCCAAGAGTGCCCAGTTAGGGTGGTCTGGAAGTGTGCAAGTGGAACAGGAAGGCAATGATTTTCCCCTGTATTTGTCCCTGGAATCAGAATTCTCCTGTTTCTATAATTTTGCAATCCTTGCTCTCCTCCTTCAGTTCATCTAATCCTTTTAAGGCACCACCAAAATCAGTGGCAGGAAACACAACAGGTAAACTGGACACAAAAGGAGACCAAGTGCAGGGAGGAGATGTGGGGGCACACACAAGCCTCGCTCCCCAAAGTCCCATGCACACTTGGCTGCCTTCTGTATCTTTGCGCATTGGACATGAAGATCTGCAAAGGCTACTCCTGTCAGTTCATTCTGTGCAGGTATTTCTTGAGTTGTGCTTTTTAACAACAGCTTTCCCAATTATAAACCAAACGGCAAGGCTCTGTTTAAAGACATAAGACCAAGGGCAATGTTGAACTGACATTATGGACTATTCTGTTTTCATAGCCTTTCTTCCAGAGGGGATTAATTCACTCTTAGCAGACTTGCAGTGAATACATTAACATTTTTACTGGACAGATTTAAATATTGATTCTACCTTTTCTTTGTTTAATGCTATGATGTGTTGACTGAAAATGCGGGGCTGCTATTAAAGTCTGCTTGTGAAAATAGCAACAGCATTGGCTAGCCCATAAATTAGAATCTCCTTGGGGCAGGGACTAGTTTTTGCTTGCTTGCTTATGCTCTCTGAACAGTGTCACGCATATGGCTCTGCTACAGAAATGAATGATTACTTATGTTTTGTGCATAAAAGGAACATTAACAATAACAGAGGTACTAATGTGAATATATCACATTGGGATGGCAATGCAAAACTCCCTCCTAGCATTCATATGAGCATGGCATATGAGCAGGGCTGTGACTCACTGGCAACAGCGAGTATTTTTCATGCGAAGTATTAAGTCAGTCTGGAAATGTCTTCTGCCTAAAACCTTGAACGGCCAGTCAGCACAGAACACAATTCTCCAAACTAGTGTTTTCCACAGGTTTTGGACTTCAACTCAACACCACACCAGCTGGTAGCCAGAAATGCTGGGAGTTATAATCCCAAGCAGGTAAAGTGTACCAGCTTGGGAAAGGCTGTTCCTAAAACTGGTCCAAGGACAAAGTTGTATCTGCTTTAGGTTTTGTCGCAGGATTGAGATCTGAGCAGTACACAAAAGTTCCTTTCCTGCTTTTCTGATGCAGAACCTCAAGATGGGGCTGCGGTATAGCAGTGCATTTACACAAGTAGAAACAGAAGTTTCTTGAGTTTTTAAAGATAATTATTGCTTCTTCCCTGCTCACCCAAAGTGCTGTTTGTTTACAAAGATCCTGTAAACGACCAGGGCCAGGGATGGACGAGTGCATCATAAATGCCTTGTGCAGAAAAGCTCTGAGAAACATCACAGGGCAGAACTTCCAGGAGATAAGGCAAAGAGGTAGAAGGAAATTCTGGGATCCTGGAATACTGGCATTTATTTGTCCCCAGCAGTGCAAGATTCTACCCAGGGTCTGGTAGCAAGTAGGGCAGAGTATCACATGTTGCCTCACAGGGGCACATAGAAAACTTGTATTACTCATTCCTTTTCTTACGCATAAATGCACACACCTAGAAAATTAAGACAGACCTAAATAGCATATGGTTCAGTTTTACACTTCACCCCACCAAATAAAACACATTTAAAAAAATGCATTTAAATAATCTACTAATAGACTTAAAGCACAATCCTATGCATGCTTTCCCAGGAGAAATTAAATAGGACCATTAAATGGATTCCACCTTTGTGATTTAAAGCCTCTCTTCCCTTTCCAATGAAAACTCAATAGCAACACTGAAAAGCCTTACTTCTGACTGGCTACTAATGGAAATATTTCAGGGCCATTAACTGGCTACTCATGAAGTTATTAAAATTAATGTTTCTTCCTTAAAATTTCCCTTAAAATTGTGTGTGGCAGGAAGGGATTAATCTCGTCAGGTTCTTTTTTGGCTGGTGGCAACGAACTGCCTGCATGTTTATAGTCCAAGAATAACAGACAAACTCTGCTCTTGACAGGCCTCTAAAAAGCAATCATCATTGCTTCATCTTGGAAACCTTGTACAAAGAATCAAATCTAGGAAACATTCACACAGTAGGCATTTTGGGAGCTCTCTATTCAACAGTGGAACCAGCTGCTTATAGAGGTGGTGGGCTCACTAGAGACATTCAAACAGAAACGGGACAGTCATCTGAGTGGGATGGTGTAACGTGGTGTCCTGCAACAGCAGGGATTGGACTCGATGGCCTTCATGGCCCCTTCCAACTCTACTATTCTATGATTCTATGAAATCACCTTAACAAGGCTGAATTGACATACATCCCTTATAACTACCAGATTTTTCTTCAGCCTCTTTTGGGGACTACAGCTCATTTGAGTTTAAATTAAAATTTAGGTTTAACAGAATTATTCAGTAGGTCATCCTTACTATGGCAAATATCACTGTGTAAATAATTCCACAGAACATGTTCATGGGAAGAACTTCTGAGTAGATATACATATAAATCAGCCTCTACGTAAGTTTTTAATCATAAGTGATTTCCAGAAGAACAGCACAAAATTTGTAATGCCAGAAGACTCAGTACAACGCATATGCAAGAAGTTATTTTGCACTATACTGTGATTACTGGGAGTAGTGAGAAGAAAAGACAAACATATTTTGTACAATCTAATATTTTATATCTTTCTAAATCTAAAATTTCCTACAAATTGTGGTTTGCCTTGTTCTTCAATATATGCAAGCTTAGTGGTTGCAGAGTTGCAGAGCCTCTTAAGGGAGACAGAGCCATCTGGAAGTCAGGAAGAGAGCATTTGAAAAAGAGAAGCATGTGGAATGATCAGTCTCTGGACTCCAGTACTCCAAAGGAGATGCTGAAAACTGTGGTATGAAACATATATAGTTGGTGCAGGAAACATTGCATGGCTTGTGTAAAGAACCGGAAAAAACAGTGGAGAGAAACAGTTAACTTACTTATTGCAGATCCAGATTCAGGCCTGTTCAAAGAGCTAATAATGACGAAGCCAAACCCTTCATTCTCTTTGCGATGGATGACAACGTCGCTGGTTTGCAAGCTGTGTGAGGCGAAGCCCTCTGGGGGTGTAGCATTGCTACTTGATCCAGCATGATTGCTGTTAGCGTAGGTGGCATAGTCACTTCTCGGAGAACTGTGGTGTGTAGACACAGAGCCTGGACTTCTTCCATTCTCTGGACACGGTTCTCCTATAACAGAAATGACACAAAAATGAAGACCTAAGCTTGTCGATCAAATGCTCAGTCAAACCAAAACCATCAGATATTTCAGACTTCAGATTACTAGGAATACAGAAAAAACAGGAACCAATATGGAAACAGAGGAGTCAACTTTGATTGGAACATATGAAGCAACCCCTCTGCATACTAATTCCAGTGTCCTAAAATAAAGCCCTGACATTCAAAATAGATACTCTTTGCCTTGACTCAAATTAAGCACTTTCGATTTATTTAAAATCACAGGAAATCTTTTGTAACTGGGCCCAGGCCTACAGTCACCCTAAAAATTCTGGGAAGGGACTCCCAGAAATAGAGATGGTAGTTTATCTGGTTTGCAGGCCTTTTAAAGACAAAAATTATAAACTGCTCCTATTTAACCCTCAATTTGCAGCCATTCTGCAATGTACGTACATTCAAAACTGTTCATCAAGCAACTTCAATGACCGTCCAGTTTTTGCCATCAGTTAACACACAAAGTAAGTATAACCCACTAGAAGAAAATTAAGGATAAGCTCTTGCAGGAATATTTTTATCATATAAACATAGTGCTAGATGGGGTCATTTGGGTCACCCCGTGTTGACCCCGTGTCCCACTCAGCCCAGAAATTCAGTTTGAAGCAACCCTGCCAGATGGTTGTTGACAGTCTGTGCTTGAATACCTCCAGGGATGTAGAGTTGCCCACCTTCCTAGGCAATTGGTCCTATTTCAACTACTTTAACTTTTAAGAAGATTTTATAGATATTGAAATAAAATCTGCCTTCCTATAACATAAGCCTGTTATGTCACATTCTGCTATCTTGGATGACAGAGGGCAGATTACACCCCAGTGGGACCACACTTTTGGTCTCTGAAAAACAGTATTATAACTTCTCTTGAGTCTTTTCTTTTATAGTTAAATATTCCTCCTATCTTTCTTTTAGGACTTAATTTCTAGTCTCCTAGAATTTTGTTGCTCTTCTCTGAATTCATTCCAGTTTTTCAGAATCCTTCTTAAAGTGTAGTGTCCTGAACTGGACAAAGTATTTGAGGCAGGGCCCAACCAGTGCAGAGTAGAGTGGAACTATTACTTTCCATGATTCTGAAACTATCTATTGAGGAAGCCAAACTTTGCATTTGCTTTTTTTGCAGACAGATCACACAGCTGACTCAAATTTGTGATCAAGTGTAACTTGATCATACTTTACATGTACGATTGCAAAGTCAGAGACCCCCTACTTTATATCTGTGCATTTTATTTCTGTTTCTTCTGTGAACAACTTTCTGCTTGTCTTTGTTAAATTTCATTCTGTTATTCCCTGCCCAAGTGCAGGACATGGAATAATTAATTCAAGCTGTGACAGCCCAGGTTCAGGCCAGATTTCAGGAAAAACTTTCTCACTGTCAGAGCAATACAACAGTGGAACCAGCTGCCTAGAGAGGTGGTGGGCTCTCCCATGCTAGAGACATTCAAAAAGAAACTGGACAGCCATCTGAGTGGGATGGCGTAACTTGGTGTCCTTCAACAGCAGTGGGTTGGACCCTGTGGGCTTCATGGCCCCTTCCAACTCTACTATTCCATGATTCTATGATCAACCTTCTAATCTATCAACTTGGTCTTTGTCTTCTAAGATATTAGATATCCCATCAAATTTTGCATCACTTGCAAACAGGACAAGCTGTTCTCCACCTCTTGAACTCCTCTTCCTGGTGGGATTTCCTTCCTATTTGTTAGTGCTCTGAATTTACTAAAATCAGTTTTCCTGAAGTCCAAGGAAATTTGTGAACAGATTTTGATGGTGCTTCTTTGTCATCAGGTTTGTACGCTGCCTGGGTGGCTTCTAAAGTGTTGTTCAAAACAGTACCTTTTCAGTATTCTTGAAAACAGCATCCACTGCTTCCCAATGCAGATGATTCATTTAAGTGCTGCCTTGGTATCACAGAACCATAGAATTGTAGAGTTGGAAAGGGCTAATAAGGCCACTGAGTGCAACTCCTCAATGCAAGACTCTAAGTTAAGCCCTTTCAGATGGATGTCCCACTACCACTTGAATGTCGCACTTGCGTGCAAGAGCCACAACTTCCCTAGGTAATTGGTTCCATTACAGTCCTGCTCTGTCAGGAAGTGCCCCATTCTCCTTCTCTTGTGGTAATCTGACCTCCGTAACCACCACCCTGTGATGTAGGTTGGGCGGAGAGTCTGTGTCCGGCCCCAAGTCATTCAGTTTGCTCCATGGCTGAGTTGTCTCCAGACCCAGATCTCCTGAGCCCCACTCCCATGCTCTTAACCACCAGACCACACTGGCTGTCACACCACACTAGTAAATTATGTACTACATGTTGCCAGGAAACTGTAGAAACTAGTAATGTTTAAATGTTTGGATAATCTGGCAATGCTTCCACTGCTGTGAGAAACCAAAACTATATGTTGTGGTTTTTCTAGTGGGATAAATCTCCACATATACTGATAGCACTGTGCAGAATAACAACAAACTTCATATTCAATTAGATATAATCGTATGGTCTCTAGACAGCCTCTCAGAGGCCAAAGGATTCTTTGGATCCCCATCTCTGTGGTCAGAGACAGCATTCAGGTCCTGGTGCTGGGGATCACAGCTCCAATCCCCCTTTTGCTTCCTTCACAGCTAGCACAGAAAGAGCAAGTCTAGCTGCTCTCAGGGGTGAGAAAACCAACATTAGAGGGAGTGCAAAGGGTTATTTCAGAGGCAGGCAGGGGAGGAGACAGGATGGCCAGGATCGGAGATTTCCTGTATCCCCTTCAGCCTGCTTCCCTCTCTCCCTGAAACAGCATCACTAGATGGCCAAATAGGGCAGAGGGAACATGCCAGAGGAGCAAGCGGGTAAAGACTGCCTCTGTTGTTTCGCCCACGTTGGCTGAGTGTGAGGCTCTGAGTTTAGAAGCTCCCACTCATTGTGTTCATGTCTTACTAAGAGATGTGGAGTTCCAAGAAAGGGATTCAGAGCTGTTTCCTCTGTGCACGTGTTCTGCCACATAAGCATGCCTAATTCAATATTAAGGATTGACTTCAAACTAAAACAATTCTGGATGGTGACCAGCAGAGTAATTAGGATGAACTGCATGTCTTCCTTTCTCCCCGTCTCGTCCTTCTTTTTAAAAAAGGCAACCACTTATTTAAAATATTCCGGTGGACTCAAGGCATGAACTGGGGAAGCTTAATCCCAAATAATTATTCTGTTGTCAAAGGTATGTGGGCTGTTTAGAAAAAGGGAAGCTGCTCCTGCATACAGGATTGGAATAATTAGCTTTCTTTGCAAGGCGAATCTGCCATATGCATATTAATATAGTGCATGTGAAAGGAGAAAAGAATCATGCTCACATTATGTATCGCCTTCATGGCCAGCAAAAAGTTTCCTCTTAAGTCACTTTTGCATTATGGACAATACTCAGCCCTCTTTCTGCAGCAGATATTTTATTGGGTTTATTACATACAGGGGAACTGCTGAACAGCTGGCAGCCTAATCCACCCAAGCTAATAAAACAATTGTCTCCATGAGACTAGAACTGGTTTATTGTAAGCAGAAAGAGCGGGGTGATCCAACAGGTGGACCACGGACAGCATGCAGCCCCCCAAGGCTAGTTCTGTGGCCCTCCTGCTGCTCTGGACCCTTCTGTCCATCCACCCCCCTCCCCCCATCTGCATCCCATCAATGGCACGGGCATGGTTGCGGTGAGCTCTCCCAAGGTTCAGGAAGAGAGCGAGTTGGGTGGCGGCTTTGCAAAAGCTTGCCCCAGCATACCCCATGCTGCTCCAGGCACCTTGGGAAGAGTCTGTCAGCTAAAGTGCAAGAGGCTCAGTGTGCCAATTCCAAGAAGGAACCATGGGGTGACATGGAAGGGCTTTTGGTGGGAGGAACAGAGAAGAAAGGGATGGGTCACCCCACAAGGGCTGTCACTGTGCTTGGCCCATGTTCAGAGAAGGAACTGCCTGTGATCCCTGCAGAAATCACAGGCCCACAAAGCATTCTTTTTCACTCATAGGAATGGAATTCATTGCTGGATTTCATGTGTCAAAACTCTCATGCTGCTCTTGAGGTATGAAAAGAAGGACTGTCCTGACTTAGCAACCTTCTCCAACAGGACACCAGCTTGGGGAAGGCAGGTTTAGAGCTACTGTTGCCCGGCAAGTGAGTTTTAGGTCTTCTCTCCTACTTGGTCAGTTTCATAAACAGCTTTTCTATGGACTTTCATCCCAACCAAGACCTTTGGGCCTCTATCTGTGAACAATGCAATTATTTGTGTCATGAACAGCTCTGTGGACACACCGGTCAGGAAGCTGGACAAGCACTTTATTGCCTTTGTAGTACAGGACACAGACAACTCCTCATCCAATAGGATCTGTGCAATGGAGTCTTGTGATTAACCTATATAATGGCGTTCTTCACCCACTACAAATACCTAATCATAGGTAAGCCTCACTGAATTTACTGGTCCTTCTCCCAGGTAAGCATCCCTAGGATGGCAGACACAATCTGGCTTCCAGCTATGGAACCAATTGCCCAACAGTCAACAAAGAATTGATCTCTTGTGTACTGCTGTAGTTGCAGATAAAAACAAAATGGAAACAAGCATATTGCAAACACGGTCTGGATTTTACCCCAACACACATTTCGCTGTATCAAAAGCAAAATGGGCAGAGGTGCAACATATTGTTTGGTTTCTCTGAATCAAGCAAAGTTGTTCTTTTCTCCAGCAGGTAAGTATGTCCTCTAGCAGTCATTGTACAACTTTGAAATAAAGTGATTAGTGCAAGGAAGGTGAAAGAAAAATAAACAATCATTATACTGCTACGTTTAGAATTGAAAATCTCCAAAAGTTATTGAACCGGAGCTGCAACTAAATGCCACAGTCGGTGACAAGAAAGATCTCATTTTCTGGCTGTCATGTTTTAGAAGGCTGCATGCAGTTTATGTCACTGTGGGGGCAACAGAAGAAAATTATCTTACCCCACTGAATTACCGACCGCAGCCTGCACGATAAATGAATGTAACAGATTCCCATTAAGTACAGGAAAGAATGATAAAGCAGGTAAAGCAGATTTTATATTGCTATTGGATTTCCATCTCTTCCAAAAGATCTACTTGGGGCAGGTGGGAGATAAAGCTCGGTTATGTTTGCTGCACAGCAGCATTTTAATCCTTCCATCCCTTGAAATGTCACTCTTTTCTGACTTCTCAGATTTCAAGTGCTGGCAATTCTATTACTCATTATATTTTGAGTTCTGAAGGCATTATAACTCTTTAAATCTAATGTGCCACACTGACGATGAAAAGCTGTCAGAGGGAGCTGGCCCATGCCTGCGTTGCTCTGATTCTCAGGGCGGTTTCCTGCTTCAGCTGATTCGATTCCTCCTGCTCTCGCAGCACTCCTCAGAGGTATAAACACACGTAAAGCTTGGCAAAAGCTGTCACCCAGCCATGAAACACAAGCCATCCGTCCGCCATCTAGGACGTTCTTTTTCCAGGAAAGTTGCATCTCCTTGGTGTAGGAGAATCTGAGCCAGAAAGTAGTGCTGTTGGTGTGGAGTGTGCGTGGAGAGGAAAATGAAACAAATGGAGAAGAGTTTTTGTTTGTTTCCCCCATTAGCTGCTATGCATGGGGCATACAACTCTTAAGGTATCAGGGAAGACAATTTCAGTCTCTCGTCTAGTCCAGAGGAGGCAATTCAGCATGTGAAGCTCTTAAGACAGAGTGCGGAACCAGTGCATTTAAAATGCTCAAAATCCAATTGGAACAAAACCAAAGTAACAGCAGGCCTAAAATTCAATAAAGGGTCACAGTAACTTTCCTACATCCCACAGGCAAAGTTCTGACACAGAGGAGGGCCTTTTTCTTATTCCCACCAACCTAACTTCTCTTGATAGCAGGACATAGAGCAGGGCCTCTGACTTAAAGCCACATTCATATTGGATGATGTGGTCTTTCAGTTATTTTGTCCTCAAACTACAAATATACTTTTATTTTCATAGAAGAGCAATCAGTGTAAAAACATATTGCCCTTTCGCAGCATGCCAAACTGCCTGAGGACCTGCACAGGATTTCTTCATTATATGAATTTGAACAGCAGAATGTTCTAGATTATAGAATATTCTATGACCCTCATGATGGATCAAGAGATAATGACTTGCTCAGACCTGACACAGTGTAGGGAGTCACTGTGTTTCAAGTTCCGATGAAGTCACTAAGACCAGTCGGAGAAATCCTTGGTGAAGCAGCTGTTTTCATCTGTCCCCATTCATCAGAGGCATACACTGCTCAAATACTATGGTGGAGAACATCACCAAGATGTTCTCCACCATGGGCACCAAGCTTCCCATTTGGTCGATCTTGCTGGTTTTGCATGGTGGTGAAAACAGGGCAGAGCTGTGTGCAGCTGTGGAAGGGCAACTGTAGTCTGAGCCCACAAACCTGAGCTCTCAGGAGGGAATGGTCCGGGTGCACACTGAAAACAGCATGGTGACAAAATGTGTTTCTCTGCGGTGGTGCCCCAATTGTGGAATTCGCTTCCCAGAGAGGTTCACCTGGCATCATCACTTTATTCTTTTCAGTGCCAGGCCAAAACTATTTTATTTTCCCAATGTTTTAAGACCTGACTGTTTTAATTGGGGTTTTATTATAAGTGGAATCTTAGGACGCTGTGTTTTAATTTTTTTGTTTACATTTTGTATTGTTAAACTGTCCCGAGACTTTGGTAATGGGACAGTCTAGAAAAAGTTTTAAATAAAATAAATGAATAAATAAAATAAATGGGTTTGGGAACGGAAGCATTTGAACATGAAGATGCATCAGCTAGGCAGTTATTCATGTTGGCACCCTGGGTGGCTCCCAGTAGTCTTTCTCTTAGTTCTGGTATGAGTTCTGTTACAAGGGCTTGGCACTTGGTATGTAATATTTGCTGTAATGGCAAACGTGACTGAGAGCCACTGCCAGAGGGTATCTTCTGCTACATGTTCCAGACAGAAGGAGGTTTGCTCAGGTGAAAGGTCCTGGACATGCAGTGACCAGCAAGAAACATAAGTGATCAGTCTCAAGCAGAAGCACAATTAATTTCCACAGGGAAATTAACGATCAATTAATCATCATGTGCTGTGTGTATTACCTGGGTTACTGGCCATTTTCCTAGGGTTGGGGGAGCTGCTAGGGGGCGTTGCACCAGGCTGGAGAGAATTGGTCTGACTCCAAGAGTCTAAAATGGGCAACAGAAGAACATCAGTGTCCAAACTGGGATGGCTGTGATGCAACTGAGAATGGGACATAATATCATGCCAGAAAGGAAGACTGTGGTGTGAACAATGACATGGGATTCTGAATGTAAGGCCTCTGGCCAGCCAAGTGTGAGACGGAAGGCAAAGCCTAAGAGGGTCAATAGAAGCAGGAAAAGAGTTATTAGCAGAATGGGACAGTGCAGGGAGAAGGAACGGAAAATATGTCTGCTTCTTTCGCTGTCTCAGGAAAGTGAACAAGTGGCAGATGTTTCTCCCTTCACACACTACATTTTTAGGCATATACCTAAAAACATATGACGTGAATGTGACAACAGGCATTTGGAAACACACGTAACATATAAGTATACTTTTCAGAGAAAAGGATTCGCTACGGCTCCCTGCTGAGTGCATTGTATGTCGCTACGTATTATTTTATAGTGTACAAAATAGCCCAGAAACAGTAGCTTTTGAGACATCAAACACGGGTCCATAGATCCATAGAAATCACAGACTGCTTCCAAGAAACTTCAGTTCAGATTTCAGGCCTGATGCTGCTACTTACATTTAGAAAAACAAATCCACTCGGATGACTCGTTAAACATTTAAGAATAATAAAAAGTCTATACTTTAGATTGCAGTATACTATTTATGAGAGGTACACACCTGTCCCATTTCTATATGTTTTTGTTTGGGTTATAGACCATGCACCTACTGAATGGTTCGGAGCGAAACACTCATGCAATCACATCTTGCCTTGATGCTTGTTCATCTGCCTGCTCTGCTGACCATACCATGGGAGTCAGCAAGACAATGAGCAAGATCATGGCATGGGTGGCGGTGACTGCAGGGAGAACACAGAACAATGGAATATGGAACACAGAGTGATTCATGACTGTTACAGTTGCTGGTCAGTTTTATTTTCCTGTTCTCTGTAAAAGAAGCAAAATGCTTTGGCATTTGCCACAGGCATTTTAAGGGAACACAAATACTTACTATGTCTTCTTTAAGATAAGTATTTATTTATGCATAGGCTTCCCACTCTTGTCATTTTCTCTTTTTTAAACATATGATTTGTCTTTGGTTACATCTCATCTTTCAATCAACCACATTTGCTTTCCCCACCTTTGAAAAACACATACCTGTGGGTAGCACCTTTCTTCTCACAGTTAGATTCACTTGCCCATTTCGAGCTGCATTATGCATGAGATCAATCACGTATCGGTGGGTTTTGCCAGCCACTGGAATTCCATCTACATAGACCAACTCATCACCAGGATGTAGGCGGCCATCTCTGTCTGCTGAGCCCATGGCAATTACTGCTCCAATTAGAATCTAAGTAATGACACAAAAGTAGTGTTGCAAAAATAAATCTAAACAGTAAGGTGACAAAAAATTCCAGCATGTTTCTGGAGATGACTAGGTAGAGGCTTCCTTTGCTCCATTTCAGAATATTTGGAAAACTTCTCCTAGAAAGCTATTCTTCACATAAGCCAATGAGAAATGTCCCCAGTAATTTACAGTAGCTGTAGTTCTTTGCAGTAATTACAGTAAGAAGTATCCAATTGTCCCCCGGCACCAGTAAGTAATAATGTACTAGGATAAACCAACAATATAATGGCTGTTAAGGCAATGGGAAAAGATGGTCATCGTCTGCCAAATTTTAGTAGTATATTACCACTTTTTTCCCATTGTCCCAGCAGTGGGACTCAGTTGGACTTATGCTTAATTTTTCATAAAGAATAATGGGATTCATAATCAAAACAGCAATGCCTTTGCAAAAATACAGTGCTGGCTAAGTTCTTCAAATGTACGTCCCTAAATTTTTGAAATATAAATGATCATGAAGTTAAGAAATCTGGAATAATTAAAGGCACTGCAGGCACCAGCGTGATCAGGACAAGACAACCTGTTTAATTTTAAGGGATTCTTATACATAATCTCTGAGCCAGATACTCCCACAATAGCATTTTGAAGTGTTCTCATTTAATATTGAGTTGGAGGACCAATGTGGAAACTTCTGAACTGATTTAATGGTAAGTTAATTATAGTGGTCTGATGTCCACTTTGCATACTCTTTGTCATATGAATGTAATGACATATTTCTTGTACAACGTTGATTAGAGATTGTTGCTTGTAAAGAAGTGGCTGGTCCCTGCAGAGGGGAAATCAAGGTTTGGAAAAGTGCTTTGAAATCCTTTGGCTTTTCCTTCAATTTTAGATCTAATTCACACAGTACATGCTGACTCTTGCTTTGGTTCTCTCTCACTCAGGCAAGCAGAAAGTTTAGTATCACAAGTGAATGTAATCCAAGGCATTTCGCTCCAGCAATTCTTGAGAGCTATTTAACGAACTAAACACAATAGCATCATGGGGGCTCAATGGCATTCCACTGGTCCCTGCACTCCCGACCATTGGTCATGTTGGCTGGGGCTGATGGAAAGTGAAGTCCAAAACATCTGGATGGCACTTTGTGCAATATCCAGTGGGATGAAAGCACGGACCTGATTCAGTTGTATCAGCATAAACTACTCTAATGCAACACCAATAACATTAGGGACTATGATTTTCCTTGAAAAAACATTTCCCTGGCTGTATCATCAGCAAATACACTAACACTACCATTTAGAATCAGAATGCCAACTTAAACTAGCTCAGTTCTGCACTGAGAATATGTACATTTTTATTTTCTCATTCTACAAAGGTTTCTTTATGAAACATTGGTTCCAGTTCAGTTGCACACCCTGAGGCAATCTCCACAGAGAGCAATGCCATTAAAAAAACAAAAAATGCATTTCCCATTTTTTCAAAGATTCCATATATTTATTCTCCCATGCTAAAGAATCTAAGAGTCTGTTTGAAAAACAACACCACTAAGATAAAAAAGATATGAGAGTTAGCTTTCCCTTTAGTCTCTGCTACTGAGTGCAGAGAAGAATAACTAAAGACATCTTCTTCTGCATGTTCAGGCCTTACTTGACATGAAAGTTAAGCAGCTAGTGGGACAGAATAACTCTGCTCAGACCAGTTTTTCATGTGCCATTTAATTTCCTTCTGTCTACTGCACTAGTACAGCATTTCTGAATCATGAAACCATTCCCCTTCTGGAACAGTAATCTTGGATGTTATGGTTTCCTTCTAACAATATGCAGAATTTGTGTGATTATGGCCATTGCAGAACATCCAGACATCATTACAAGCAGTATGTGCCCCAAATATATGCCAATATACCAAATTCACAAAGGGTTGGTTCAGACATGGTTTCTTAGAGTGATGAAAGACTTTGTGCTTGCACGCTCCATCTTCTCTGCTCCTTTTTCCCTTCCTCTGCTCCTTTTTCTGGTGTGCTGTAATTATATGTGTCTGGGTTTGCCTAAATCCTAGTTTTGCATCTTGGTTCATCAGTAGATTAGGCTATAGCTTCCCAGTTGGAGGTAACAAGAAACTGGGATTTAATCAACCATGGTAGATGCATGAAAGCTGGGTGTGCTAGTGGAGGAAAGGGAGTAGCTGGCTGAGTCAGGGATGGAGCATGCAGCCTCAAGGAACATTCCCAGTCTAATATAAACTATCATTATATCTCAGTCTAAGTGGCCAGTTGAATGGCAGTATAATATAATGGCAGAAATTGCAAAAGAGATCATAAAAGAGGGAGGGAGGAGCATATAACTGCTAGCAACAAGAAAATCTATTGCTCATTAAGGACTGTAGCTTTTACATGAAAACATGCAAAGCTTAGTCATAAATCTAAAATCAGCTGTGGTTCTAAATCTACCAATCCACAAGACTTTGTAAAAAAAAAAAAACCTGTCCCCACCTCTTCATGTTGTTTGATATCAAATCTCTTAATGACACCCAAACTAGGGGTAAGCTAAGGAAATCTGAACAAATGGTGCTATTATATAAGTTTATCCAATTGGTGCAAACAACACTATTTAGTATAATTTTTGCAAATCAAAACCTGAAAACATGTAGATCTAGAATGATTTACGTAAAATTGGTCAATCTGCACAAATCACATGATGACCACATGTTGTTCAGCTGCAGATTTGTGCAAACAATTTTTTTTTAAATGTCAACATCATGACCAGTCTTAGACATGGAGATCTGTAAGTTGGCTTGACTTATACCATAGGGAACTGGCACTAGTGCAGAGGAAGCACAATTTGGGGAGTGGGACAATCAGATTCCTAACACAGACATCCCAAAACTTTGGATACAAAGCTGCATTTTTCTTTGCATGGAAGTAAAAGGCACAACTAAACACTGAAAGTGCTTTATTATTTCTATCTGGATACCATAATTTTTTAGTACATGACCAATGAAAGTCCTAGTGTCACACATTTCAGAATGCACTCCATATCATTGCAGGATATGTACTGAAGGATTTCAGTGATAAATTATATGTTTCAAATCTCAGAATTAGTGGTTTGGATCTGGATTTAATCACTCTTAGACTACATCCACTGAAATAAATGGATCTACTTGAAGCATGACTGACTCTGAATTCAACTCATCATATTCATCCAGCAAATATTTTTTGGTGTCACATATCAAAGCATGACATTCATTTGCTCCCACAAAGTTCAACTGGTGAAGCAAAGCCTTGACCATTCACAGAAGCCAATCATGTTCTTTAACTCAATAACTGAAAGCTGTCAAGAGGAAAATGCATTGCGTAACAGGCTGGAGAACATAATCTCAGCAACTTAATACAGATTGATTTGTAATGACAGTTTGTAGATGGAGATGCTGATAGCTGGAGAGACCTGTCTTTTTCAATGTCTGAACAAGAAAAGTGCCATTCCAACATGACAGTTATACAAAGTGATATATTTCTGACAGATACAAAGGTACAGAAACTATAAAGTGGAAAGAAATGCAGAAGAAACTCACTGGCTGTCCAGGTTCATCTCCTCCAAGAATTCTGAAGCCAAAGCCAGATTCCATTCTCCGAAGATGAACATCCAACTCCTTGTAATCCGGACCTGGTACAAAATAAGATCTCACTGAGTTGTAATATGTTTTGCTTCTTCCCATGCAGAACCTGGGCCCCCCATGTTGAGGTCATGAAATGATACATGACAGTCTCACAAGAGCAAATGCAACAAGACCCAATGTGTTGACAGCAGACAGGCAGAACACAGAGCACTTAAATGGGAAGGTATCCTTGAGGATTAGGGGACACAGGAAAGTGATGTAGAAATCGGCTGCAAATTGCCCTGCATTTTATGAATTGCATCCAAGGGTGTCATTCCACCAGGGCAAGGTTTCTATTGCTTGCAGAAATTCCACTGCCATCCTTGTTCAAGTATCAAATCCAAAATATTGAGCCTGCTTGTACAAGCCATTCTGGAGCACATATGTGGTTCTACATGGCATTCCATGAGGAACACAAGGTGTCTGGCAAACTGTTGCACAGTGCACTCCACAAGCCATTCTGCAACTCTTTCTGCAAGGAGCTTCAGAAGCTGATCCAGAAGTTGTTGCAGAAGGCATTGCTCAACTCATGATGACTTCATTAGGGTAGGTGTCACTGGGACTCGCTGTTCTGCTAGCAGTTGTGCAACCACCAGCAGAACCAAGCCAGCTCTTTGTTTTCCCGCTAGTATGATACTCCATTTCTACATATGAGCTTGTGTGTTTGTAAAAACTATGTCTGCCTTTATTGCAAGGAAATAGTCTCTGTTTTGGAATCTGTGATGTTCAAAGTGGCTGGGAGTACCACTGCCTTCCATGGCAGTGACTTCCGCAGTTTTGTGCTCAGCAGCTTTCTCCTGAGAATCGTAATAACACAGAGCTGTCATTTGCTGCAGCTCTTCTATTGTTTTCTCACCATAAAGGATGTAACCAGGACATGAGGTGAGTTCTGTGGGGTTAGAGCAATGATTCATCCAGTCTGGTGCTCTATTTTCCACAGTGGCCAATCCAAAGCGTCTAGGAAGCCCTGAAACAAGGCATGCGCATAAAAGCGCCCTTCCACTCATGTTCCCCAGCAAATGAACTTGGAACTTGATCGCTTTTCCTTTCATGGATTTGCTTGATTTCTTTCGAAAAGTCCTCTAATTTAGGAGCTGCTGCCACTTCCTGTGGCAGTGAATTCCATACAGTAATCACCTATTGGTCTTTGATATAAATATAGATTATTTATGCTGAACAACTTTATTCATTACTGGGAATATTGTAGAAAGACCATTTGTGTTAAACTACTTGTATAAAATTATCTCTTTTCTAAAAATTTGTCCATTATCCTTAACTCACTATATTATCTTTAACAGAGATTTCTGTACGTGAAATGCTCCATTTTTATTTATTTACTCTTTTCAAATAAGGGTTTTAAAGCAACCCTCTACTAGAAATTTTCAAATTCATGTGACAACACGCATGAAGAAATGACAAGTCTTCTAATATATTGTAGAATGGGGGCGTTTCCACATCCTTGTTGCCAATGCCTCCATTTTGAGAAATGCTGGTCTACAACATTATTGATTTATCAGAGAGATTATATGCAATGGAGTGCATGACAAATCCTCAGATTCACTCTTATCCACTAAAACAAAAAAGTCACTGCAAAAAATACAAATGACACATAACCTCTGCCAATAAGAAGGTTTATGATCACTTCCACTACCCCCCCTGTAAGAACAGCCCGAGAGCCTTTCCTTGGGGAACATTCACTGTGTGCTGGTGATTCCTCATTCATGGTAATTTGCAGGTGCTTTACATTACACTGTCATTCTACAGCAACACTCTGGTTCTTTGCAGCCTTTCCTGTGGCTTTTATAGATTGAGGAAACTCTGGTACTCTCTGAAAATGGCAACATGGAACCCTTATGTGTTTGTATAATTCTACTATACTGCAGTGCCCCCTAGTGGTGTTGTATGGAAAATGTAGAAAGCCAGAGGAAGGAAAATTGTGGGGAAAAGAGAAAAGTACAGAGGAGCCAAATGTAATCCTGCAAAGAATCTGGAAGTAGTGGCCTTATTAAGGTAGCAGGTTGAAAGCCTCATGGAGAAAAGCCCCAAAGAACAAACTAACCATGCATTTTAACATGGTTCTTCCCAATTATACAGGGCAGGCCAAGGGTAGGCACACAGTAATGCTCAGGTCATGTTTAGTCTCCAAAGGGCTCGAAAGTGCTCCATCTGTTGCAACATTTCTGGAACTTGTCCTGGACACCATGACACAAATTCCGGTGAGCACCAATGTCAATAAACGCCTGCAAGATGAACTCCTTCGATTCATCCACTATGTGAGGTCCTCTGTGACCCAGTCAGTACTGCATACCTACTCTGGACCCACCCTGCATATTGGTAAGGGCGGGTGTGTTATTTTAGCAACAATGTGAGCGATGCTCCCTTGCTTTTCCTCCCACGGCCACTTCCCTCGGGCACGATTCCGACTGAGAGAAAATGGCAAAGAAAAGGGAAAATGTGATCTCTGTAGTTGGAACATGAGCCGATGACAAAGGACAGCTGAGCGTCCCGCATCGTTACACCCCACTTCTCCTATGACTGCTGCACATCCAGAGAAAAGCCATTGGAACTAGCAGCATCATGCCTCGCTTGGGCCCGAACTGCTGTAAAGTTTCTTAAGTGCATTGGAAGTGCTTGACAGCTTGCAGAGTTAGAGAAATAATGACATTGCTAAACAAAATCAAGTCTTAAAGATTATGCTGCACTGTGACATACTTTTTTTTTTAAAGGTACCTATTTAACATTCATTTTGTAGGCATGAGAATGGCACTGAAATGGGCTTCTAGGTAAACAGCTGTCTGTAGAGATCACATTAAGAACTTTCTTTACATTCACAGACCTATCATGACCATCTAATTTTCACGTTACTTAATGTGAAACATGAAACAGCTCTCTGACATTAGGGAGAAACATTCTGTCCTAGCTGTCTTTGTGATGTGTTAGCATTCTACATACAAGGGGCTTTTTTAAACAAGCAGTGACACAATAAAGTGGGAAAGCATTAAACACTTAGGACCAAGTTAAAATTTGGCCTCTGAAAGAGTATAGTTGAGGGACAGCACATCTACCATGGGATATTGATGAACACAGAAACAAATGTGATTTTACCATACGTTTTGGACAAAATCTACATACTGTGGTTCTACTCAGTCCTACCTATCTTACTATCAAATTACTCCAGCTACACATTTCAGCATTTAACTCAGAATTTGTGCAGCACAGGTGAAAATACATGCTACAGTTCATATCTGCATTGCTAAGAGTGACCTAGAGACAGAAAATGCTCAAAAAACCCAAAAAGTTCCCTTTTACTAAACATGAGTTATTCACAGCTACCTATAAGCTCGAATTTACATCAAAATAGTAACATGTGAATAAAGTATTTAAAGCCTTATTGTTGCTCACTGAAGTTAGCAAGGATTATTTCTGATTTTTTGTCCTGGTAGGATTCTTCTTTCTCAAGCCTGGGAAACTTGTAGCCCTTCAGACATTGTAGGATTACAACTTCAACCAGCCCCCGCAAGAATGGGAGATGGGAGCTGTTGTCCAACATTTTCTGAAGATCAGATTTATCTCTCCCTGTACTAAGTGGGTAATTAACCATTCCAATGTGACTGCAGTATGTGAGGGTTGGACACTGAGATAACATGCCCCAAAGACAATCCACATCCATTTTTGAGAAAAGTTTATGAACAGGAGTCCAAAGGAATCTAGTTTCTAATTATAGATGGTTCCTGAAAAGCTCTGATATGTTTCCCACACATGTTCCTTCACAGAAATCAGCTCTCCAGTGAATGCAAATAGGATCTTATTTATTGTAAGCCACCCTGAGACATTCTGTTGGGGACAGGATAGAGAAACTTTAAAAATAAATAAAATATCTCACAAATGTCCACAGGCTTGACTTTTCATATTGGCTTTTAAAAAGGGGCTGTTGATGCCAATCAACTAATTTGGGGTTGTATCATTTTGTGGGGACAGAATCACATTAATCCCAAAAACTGTTCAAAGTCTCATTTCCTTTATATAAAATATTGAGGCAGAGAAAGAGGGGGTAATAGAGGAGTTTCCTCGGGGCACGGGGGGAGGGGGTTGCAGGGGAATGGGGCGGGGAGAGGTGAAAGGAGGCCTCTTTAAGTTTTTCTTCATGACATTGAACTGTAGAAGTTTCTCTCTGATCTTGCTGATGGGCTGCATGGCAATGCCCATATGTGTGATTGCAGAGAGACCTCGAAAAAAATGATATGTACTCATTTTATTTACATAGCACTTTTAGTGGTTAAGAATGCCTAATGTTGACACTTATTTCAAAATATTTTTACAAATATTTTAAAATGTAATGGATTGTAAAATCAAAAGTAAAAGTAATTTTCTCTGGAGACATATCCTAAATTAAGTAGGGGATGTTTTTAAATTTTTCAGAAAGTTGGTATGCCCAATCATCTTGTTTCCATGGAAATGGTGTAATGCAACATGACAGATGACCCTGATCTCTAGTAGGCGAATTAACATGTCCATACCATGACTGAATTTACTTGTCATGTAGAATGAAATATGGTCACAAACATACCTGAAGAATTAGGAATTCCTGCTATATTTGGCACCCAGCACTTTACATTTATGAAAGAAATCCTGAAGTTCAAAAATGAACCCATCCTGACAACTGTAGCTAGTGTAGGTCTCATCCTATGAAACACACACACGCACACACACACACCATAAGTGTGTGTTTCCAGGGAACTGTGATCTTGAACATTTTAGGAGGAGTGCTGGCCTCCCTCAAGTCTATTTTTTTTCAGTGCCTGTAGATCTATTTCAACATGTATATCAGCTCTGCAAAATTCCGACAAAATCCATGACTGGAACGCAACCCTTGTTTGTTGATATGACATGGCAGAACCCCAAAGTGGGGCTGAAAAGCTAAGAAAATCTTAAAGAAATTTCAGTGGATAGGCTTTCCTTTGGATATTGTTAATAATGCACAATGAAATCTGAGATAGGCCTTGGGCAT